ATATTTACTGCTGAACACGACACAGAGGACATCAGCACTCATGCACATTTATACACACACACACACACACACACACAGTTACGTCCATAAATATTTGGACACAATTCCGACATGTTTGTCTCTATACACCAACACAACGGATATTAATTGAAATGATGAAGATGTGCTTCACCTGCAGACGGTCAGCTTCAATCTGAGAGTGTTTACATCCACACCAGGTGAACGCTGGAGGAATAACAGCAGTCTGCATATGTGCCTCCCACTTGTTAAGGGTCCAGAAGTAATTGGGCAGAATAATATTCATAATTCAAACTTTCCCTTTATTGCGTTCACCTTCAATGTCTTTTGTCCTTTTGTCTTCAGCGAGTGAAATGCATGCTCAATCGGGTTCAGCTCAGGTGATTGACTTGGCCATTGCATAACAGTCCACTCCTCCTTCAAAACAATGTGGATGCTTTTACAGTGCGCTTTGGGTCATCGTCCATCTGTTGAATGAGTTCTGAAGTGTTTGGCTGAATATGAGCAGAGAATGTTGCCCGAGACGCTTCAGAACTCCTCCTGCGGCTGCTGTCAGCATCACATCATCGATAAACACAAGAGAAGCAGTTCCACTGGATCTCCTCGTGAGTTGCCAATGCTAACAGCACACTGGAGATCAGCTCTGGAGCTGTTATCCGCTCACTATAACTGGAATAATGAAGGAACAACACACATCTGGCCATGGAACAGCTGAGAAGACAATCATCCTGCTACTTTTGGTCCCTTAACAAGTGGGAGGCACATCTGCAGACTGCTGTATCAGCTGATGTGGCTGTGAACACTCTCAGATTAAAGCTGACCGTCTGCAGGTAAAGCACATCTTCTGTCATTTCAGATCCTTCATGTTGCTGTATAACTGAGACATCACTGAAGGAGTTGTGTGTCCATGTCCAAATATTGATGGACCTGACTGTAGATATTTAGAATAATCTGAGCGCCCTAAAGGAAATATAATGTGTGTGTGTGTGTGTTGATGTAAATGGAGAGATGTGTGTGTGTGTCTGACACCTTCAGTTCTGCTGAAAGACACAGATGAAGAGGGAAGATGAAAGATGGAGAGTTACTGACGGGGTAACCCTGATAATGTAGATTTAGGCACACACACACTCACAAACAGACACACACACACACACACACACACACACACTGATGTACACACACACTGATGTACACACAGACTGTCATGCAGACACACACTTACACACTTCTGCACTCTTCTACACTCTTATACTTTCACTTTCACACACCTTGGTATTATAAAACAAGTAGCATAAACACACTCACTGATCTCCATATTATTCTTATAAGCATACACACGCATACGCACGCGCACGCACACACACACACACACACACACACACACACACACACACACACACACACACACACACACACACACACACACACACACACACAGCGTAAATCAAAGTCAGATTCTACTTATGAAAAAATGACGTCTGATGTGCACATGTCCTGATGTTGAGGGTGACACACACACACACACACACACACACACACACACACGTCCCCGAGTCCTCATTAATGAGTTCAATTATGAGGCGTTTGGCCTTGAGAGAGTGACACACTGAAGAGCAGCGACTGACGGTTCTGTGTGTCAGTCTGTGTGTGTGTGTGTGTGTGTGTGTGTGTTCTGTAACTGACGGTTCTATTAGTGTGTGTGTGTTCTGCGACTGATGTCTCTCTCTCTCTCTCTCTCTGTGTGTGTGTGTGTGTGTGTGTGTGTGTGTGTGTGTAGCGGCTCTGGGTATGGTCCTGACGGCGGGCTGTGCCACCTCTCGCCACTGTCAGCAGCAGGAGCTGCCCGGAGTCTCCATCCACTGCTGTGACTCTGAGCTCTGCAACAGCGCCCCCCGCCGGCCGCTCCTCACACTGCAGATGCTCCTGCTGACCGCACTGCTGCTGCTGGCCTGAGGATGATGAACACATTCCTCAGATGCACTGAAGACTCCACAAACACTTCTACTCTAATGGCAGTTTTCTGAGTGACCTTATGAAAATGGACCGTGTGTTTGTGACAGCACAACTGTAGTAACCGTGTTTGTTTTTGTGCATTGACCACCATTTGTGTAACCACAGTTTTACTACTATTGCCATGGTAAAATTATAGTTGTTGTTGCAAAAAAAACATGGTTAATTTAGCGTTCCCATAGGTCAACGCAGAAAGAAAGATGGTCACTACAGTTTTACTACCAAAAAACATGGCTGATTTCAGTGAGGGTAGCACTGTATTCTACAGTCATGCTCTGCATATATAAACATATTAAGCGCTGTCGTCACAGTATTCAATAACTAATGGAGTTAACACTGAAACACACTGATCTCAGAACAGTTGGATGAACAGAGTGTGTGCACACTGCACTGAGGCGGTATTTAAATGAAGGCCATTATATCAGATCTAATGTCAGCATATGGGGGATTCTAGAATACAGTGTGTCTCTGAGATAACCACTGTAGTTTTTAAGGGAACAGTTTGGCTTGTGTGCTTGTTGACAATCGAATATTTTAATCTGTTTTAAGGAAACACATTCTTGTTTTCACTTTGAATTAAGATTATATTGCACAGCCCATTGTCAGATTATTATTACTTGTTTTAATATGAAACTCTCTTCATTTTGACTCATTATTCCTGAAAACAGCACTATATGTTGTGCTTGTCTAGAAACGCTTCTTGATTTAAGAGTTTGTAGATATTTGGACTAGAAACATGTAAGAGAGGCATGTTTTGCAGTGTGAACTGGTAACACACTATACATGCACATCTACTGTAAAATGAGCTGTACATATGTAAATAACTCTGTTTTGTCATTGGTCTGGCTGTGAGCTCTTCATGTCTGTCAGAACAATACTCAAACCTGGTACTTCTCTCTCTGAGAAAAGTCTGAGCATGTCCCAGCGTGTTTTGTTTCTGTGATGTACAGGATTTGAACAGATCTCAACAAGCCATTGTAAGCACATTCTAAAGCATGCTGCTGCCCTCCCACACCAAACACGGACTGCAGTCCTGTATAGTAAATACTGTAGAGTTTCTGAACCATACTATAGTGAACACTTGAGCTGATCTGCTGTGGTGATTCTACAGTTGCTATGGTAACAACAACTACAGTAATTGATCTATTGTGGTGATTCTACAGTTGCTATGGTAACAACAACTACAGTAATTGATCTATTGTGGTGATTCTACAGTTGCTATGGTAACACAACAACTATAGTAATTGATCTGTTGTGGTGATTCTACAGTTGCTATGGTAACACAACAACTATAGTAATTGATCTGTTGTGGTGATTCTACAGTTGCTATGGTAACACAACAACTATAGTAATTGATCTGTTGTGGTGATTCTACAGTTGCTATGGTAACACAATAACTATAGTAATTGATCTGTTGTGGTGATTCTACAGTTGCTATGGTAACACAACAACTATAGTAATTGATCTATTGTGGTGATTCTACAGTTGCTATGACAACGTAATATAAACAAACGAGCCAACACTGTAGTTCTCTACAGCTATAGGGTATATTGTTCTACAATACACCACAGTTTACATTACGGTATATACTACATTATTTAATACAGTTGGTCAGTTCACTAGTCAACAAACACACCAGTATGCTGGAGCATTCACTAGCAAAGTGCTGTGAGTAGTATAATTTATACAGTACATTATTTACTATGAATTACTATAGTATTTTTGTTACATGTCTGTTAGGGAATCAGTCTTTAAAGCTGGGATTAAAGGGAAATGCAGCTGTTGTGTCTGTCGGGTGAGTTGTTTTGTAATCATCAGAATAAGGTCTCTTATCACTTTTCAGAGAAATAAAAACAATTCTTGAT